GGCTCTGTCTTTGTAATGTTTATTAAAACTCCAGAATCTGCGTATTCTGCTGAAAATAAATGTACCATATTTTCCGCCGTACACGTCGCTCTGCCCTTTAAGTCGTATCAGTCCACATATCAGAGAGTCAGTCAGTTTCTTTGTCGTTCCACCTCGTGTGGTACATATGGTGGAATGAAATTTTGTACATAGTGTCCCAGTTACATCCAACAATGGAGGGAGTGTAAAATATGTCCAATACAGTGGGAAAATCCATAAATACGTCGCATCCATTACGTGTCACCGCTGACGCGTCGCGTTTGCCACACGTCACTGACAACCTGGAAACGTGGGCCGGTGTTGTGCCAAAATTCGATCGGCTGCCAAATGGCGGCCCAGGAGCGTGCACGGGAGGACTTTAACAAATGTTTTTTTCATTCAACCTTAATTTAAACAGAAGTCACACTGAGCCTTGAAGACTCATTTACAAGTGAGACTGTTTGGACAGAAAATAAAAAGTGGTGAAAATGACACAGAGTTTGGAAACAAAAAAATTCCTAACACGCTTTGAACCTCTGAAGGTCAACAGTGTGATGATGAAAATAAAATCTCACACACGAGCACATAATGAGGACGACCAAGGACGAATCAAGAGTTCAGAAATGATGACAGAATGTTTATTCAGCTGGGCTCCTCTGAAAAGTTCATGGAAATTCCTCAGTAGGAGGGGAGGGAGGGGTTGAGCTTCAGGTTTACAAAACTTCCAGGTAGGTTGAGTTAAGATGTCCTGTCCAGGCCAGTCATGGAGCCAAATTCAGATAAACACGATTGTTTTGGGGACAGGCAGAACTTTAATGACATCTACCTTGAGTCTGTGTCGGTCCACTCAGTTCTGAAACGTCCAAATTAATTGGCCACACCGATGGACCGTGCCCGAGAATAATCCCTGAGAGCTGATCCATTCTGCCAAAAGCATTTGAGTCTGGGTGCTCGAGGCACGAACCAAGACATCATAAGGCAAGCAGCGTGATCAGGCCCAAATTTGCTGCCGACGACTTCCTTGATTGTAGATAAACCAGGAACCAGCTGAATCCAAAAAGCAGGAACCCGTTATCGTAAATCCAATTATAAATGTGTCCTTAAAATCCACAGATGACGGCAGAGATAGACACATCATCAAGTCTTCAGTTGATGAGATATCCAGCTGCGCGCCAACAGGACAAATCAGCTCGCCTGCCTGTCTTTTCTTCAAAGACATGTTGTAAATTGTGTTGAGGGACCAACTGATCAAATCCATAAATTATGATTCAGAAGATTTGTAGAAGAGAGGCTCTAAGCAGTTTCACACACAGGACAGTGCAAAAGAAAGCAGGGAGGGAGAGGAGGAGAAGACGTCCGCCCTTGACAAGAGCAAGTGTTGACAAGATTAATACTTAAAACACAATTATTTGTTTGCTCGAAATTATAGTAAATGTGTGTCTCAGTCTAACGTTTGCTTAATAATAAATGCACTTTGACGCTCAAATCAGCTGAATTTCAAAAGTGTTTGCGACCTCTGTTCTCCGGGAGCGCGCAGACGGGGAGGAAAAAAGGAGGAACGCTGCTCGTTTCTTCGAAATTTAACAAGCACCTAAAACAGTTATTTGCTCGACATTATAACAAAGGTGCGCCTCAGTTGAACTTTTCCTTAATTAATGCACTTTAATGGTCAAATCAGATTCATTTTCAAAATGAATCTGATTTGACGGTTGCTCCAGGCGAGCAGGATGAAGGTGGCAGGCTGTGGCAAGCAGACTGAGTCATTAATAGACACTTTTACCTATTACATGACGCAACAGCATTCCTTACAACTCTGCTTCCATCTAGTGGCTGAAAGTGGTACTGTTCAATTATTTTCAATCAGAATGAATGAAAAGTCAGATTTATTAGTCATTCGCACCTCATGTGATGGAACGAGATGATGTCCACAGGGTCCCAGTTACATCCAGCAATAAAATTTTAAATAAAAATGATGAGATCAAAGATATGAACTAAAAAAAACAAACTAAATATACACTAAGCACTAATCGTATAAAAATAATACATTGAACAGCAGCACGAACATGAGTCTGCGTGAGCAGATGAGCAGGCATGAACACAACATGAAACCAATCAGCAGCGACATGAAACCGATCAGCAGCGCCATGAAACGGACCAGCAGCGACATGAAACAGATCAGCAGCGACATGAAACGGATCAGCAGCGACATGAAACGGATCAGCAGCGACATGAAAACAGATCAGCATCGACATGAAAACAGATCAGCAGCGACATGAAAACAGATCAGCAGCGACATGAAACGGATCAGCAGCAACATGAAAACTGATCAGCAGCAACATGATGTGATTCTTCAGTGGTTATCCTGGTTAGAGATTAATGAGTCTAACAGCCTCAGGGTAGAAGCTGTTCCTCAGTCTAGTGGTTCTACACTTAATGCTCCTCAACCTCCTTCCTGAGGGGAGCGGGGCAAAAATTGTGTGTGCTGGGTGAGTGTGGTCCTTCATGATGCAGGTGGCCCTCTTGCTTTTCTTTCTGCAGCTGTGCAGCCTCCATGCCACACGTTGATGCTGGAGCACAGGATGCTCTCCACTGCACACCTGTAGAAGGTGTTGTTGCTCCAGCTGAGGTTGTTGTTCAGGTGCACACCCAAGTACTTGGAGCTGGAGACCACTTCCACCACAGATCCTCTTATGTTCAGGGGGTGTAGATGTTTTTGTTCTGTCTGAAGTCCACGATCATCTCCTTCATCTTCTTCACATTGATGTGAAGGTTGTTGTTCCTGCAGCAGCTCTCCAGATGTTCCACCTCCTGCCTGCAGCTGGACTCATCATTGTTTGTGATGCATCCCACCACCGGTCACCTCTCAGCCAAAACTGGTTTATAAATACGGGAAAAAATCCATAAATCGTTGCTTCGGCCTGTAAGTCTCAGGGCATGCAAATTCTACAAAGAAAAATATGTTGAGGCTTTGAGGGCTGAAGGAAAGACGCTGAAGAGACTCCAACTGAGACAGTGAAGCTATGACGTTAAAAAATAAAGTAAACTAGCTCGGCACGGAAAGGAGCAAATATCAGAAATAAAATGAAGAGTTAAGAAAATCTAAAAGTTGTGCAACGTTATCAAAAGCGAAAAGGACAAAATTGAAAGTGTCAAAAGGTAAATGTTAACTAAAATGATCTTTATTAGAATCAGATCTAGTTTAATTATTAGTAGAAGGAGCAAATTAATATTAATGTTGGTACCATTAGCACCAGAACAATTAGCATTACTGTAATTGTCAGTAGTATTAATACTAGCAGTGGGAGTAACAATATTGGTATTTAGAATTTAAAAGGCTGTATTTTCTGTATGTAAATACAGTTCAATATTTGAGAAGAGTAAAGATAAAAGGTCTAAGTTTGCTCCTTGGAGCTGTGCAGGTTTTCATCCTGGGGTCAGTTTGGTGTCAGAACTGAGAGCGGCAGCAGAAAGAACCAAACAGGGTTCTGGTTCTGGTTGGGCTGAGCCCCGTGGGTCTCTGCGAGTGTGAGAACTATTTTCCTCCCACACTCACCGAGGAAGGCTGGCACACTTGTTGACGTTTTCTGTCCTTGCAGCCTCGTCTCCATGGCGACCTGTTTCTTCTTCGCTCCTGTTCTGTGCGTGCTCTTTCAGACGGCGCTGCCGTTTGTAACAAATCGGACCTCGCGTGTGGACCCTGAAGCTCAGCTGTGCTGAGACCACGGTCGCTTTGGGATGGGGCGGCGTGTTGGCGGCACTCGTCGGTCCGGTCCACCTCGGTGAAGACGTCAGGATGTTTTACATTTTCAACTCACGACTGAAACATTTTTAACCAAAAGTCTAATATTATCACGAGGCCGGGGGCTTCAGGCGCCAAAACTCAAGAGTTACATCATCGCCCGCCACAGAATGGGGTGAAACGAACGGAGGTTTTTGTGCTTGTGTCTCTGTCAGCATAATATCACATCAGTTATTGTACGAATGTTGATGATTTGAGGAAAAAAGTAGTTGAACCTCTAGAGCTCATTAAGTTCTGAAGCGTCAAATCCAAGATGGCCACCACAGCTAATCCATCTAACGCATTACATGGGTAAAAACATTATCACCCTTTCACTGTGATAACTGGCCTGGACTCTGTTCATGAACTCTAAATGAAGTTTGGTAGCTTGAACGATGAATGTTTTTTAGTTGAGGCCCTCAAGGTCAAAGGTGACTTCTGAAGGTCAAAGGTGACTTCCTGCGTCTGCGTAAAGACGTCATGAAGTTTAGTAAATGTTTGTTGCGCTGAGGAGAAAATAAGTCCAGTACCTGTGTGATGAGAACCAGTCCTGTTTGTAAAAGCTGTGCTCACAGGCGTCTGGATGATTGACGGAATCATCTGGATGATTGACGGAATCATCTGG